AAAACTCCTAGCAGATCTACAGTGTTGTTATTCGAAAAGACAACGGAATGCCGTTTTCAGCGTGAAGGTTGTGAGAACTTGGTCAGAGTTCTGCAGCAAGTACCAGAGTGCAATTATGAGGAAGTGGACGCGTACGACAAACGGATAATGACGATGCGGCAGAACAAAGAGGTGGTATATGACAAGTGCAAACGCGAAATGACTAAGAAGCTTTTGCGCCCTATTATAGCGGTATTTTCTTTTGCATTTAAACAAGACTTATCTCAGCAAAAATATTATCTAGTTTCCATAGTTGTTCCAGACTTTTAGCTGCATGAATAGTGGATCAATAAACTTTTAGGGAACCATACCACTTTATTCCTCATTTTTATTTTAACTCGACTTAACTACAATATATTGGTGTGAACACCCCATAAATACAAAGTTTTTGGATATCTACTGTTTGCTTTTTGCTGGTCCTTTATGTGAATTCAAAAAACCTGTTATCTGTACAAACATTGCGAAACATACTTATACATTTTTCAGTTAAATGTTGGTGAGCAGCATCGCCCCTCCGCGAATACTTCCTCCATTATCCAAAACAGTGAAACCAGTCATTTCCGAAGACTTCAGCAACATTGGTCTTCTTTTCAACACCGTCTGATTGAGTCTTTTGAGGAGTAGGCTTATTGTCGGGATTTAGCTTTAGGGTTGTAAACTGTTACTTGGCAGATACATTCAAGTTAGCTGCAGCATGGTATTAAAAGACTATTAAAAATACCGCTTTTGACATTTTGATTTATGTTACTGACTTTGTCAAACGATTTGATTAAAGATGTGGGGAGTTTACCTGCTTCCTCTGCTACAAATTGATTTTTTAAACTTCTTTTCCACTCTAGTAAGGCAGTTTCAATTTGCCCTTATTGAAGACTTAGTTACGGGATCTAGTGGGGACCGTTGTTATGAATCATAATTTTAAATTTTGTACCTTTGATTCTCCAGTTGCGCGGATCGTTCCTTTAGCACCACATATCCTTCCTGTTTTGAATGAACTATGAGATTTGTGATGTATAAATTGAGAGAAGCTTTATTTTTATTTGTTGTACGTCTTATTCCCTATTTCATGATGTTATTCCTTATACAGTTGTTATGGTCACTGTTGCTCAATTCGTTCCTCGTTTCAGTGCTGCTGAAGCGTTTTCTAAACTGATGAACTTTAAAGATACTTGGTTTGGCGGGTAAGACGTAGCCGTCAGAGACGTAGGTCTGTACGTCAAGAATCCAGTGAATGTTTGAGTAAATGCCCCAGTAACATAATAATTATGGTCTTAATAAAGAGAGAATTTGATTTTGTCATTAAGAGTGTAAAAAATTCAGTCGCAGTGCTGAAGTAGGGGAGTTACGGTTATCATTTTAGTGTCGTCAGATCACTCCTCAATCTTTGTATAGCACAAATAAGGTATCTCGGGAGAGCTGAAGGATGGAAACACTGTTGCTGCCTCCCGTTTGTTATCTTTGCCGACCACTTTGCGTCCTCTTCGCAAAGATAATTCAGTAAAAGCTCCAAATCCTTTGTGAACGTGAAAGAGATGTTCCTTCCAGAAGCTTCCAGTTCTGTCTTGTAGCGTGTGATTGTAGCTGCGCACTCTCTTACTTCGCGCATCTTTTCAGACAAATCTTCATAAACCTCCTGAATGGCTATTTCTAAACGTCCGCATAATTTGATTTGCCAATGCGGTGAGCAATTCATCAGTGCGCTGATTGAAGGCATCTGCAAGTTTTTAATTTTTAAATCTTTTTGAGGGACTTTACTCTTCCTTCGCTATAAAATCCCCTCTTTATGAAGTGTTTAAAAACAATCGCAGTGGCAGAGACAACCGTGGTCTCAAAGTAAACAACCTTTCTGACGCATTTTAGTTGCTCCTCCAAATTCCTCCACTCTTCATCTAGTGTGACAATACTCTTGTAACTGTTTTCGATTACTGACAAAGATTTCTCGAAATTGTCTTCCATCCTGCTGTTGGTTCGTAACAAATACCATCAGTCACACTGCAAGGAAAAAGATTTTTGCGGGTTGTACAGCTTCCACCCAACTATCCCAATGATTAACTTTCAGTCACGACCTCAACGGTTATTGTACTTCGCTGCTTCCGTCTTGCCTAGAATATATTTTTTGGCACTCTAGGTTTCAGAAGTAGAATGGCGAGAGAACAAGGCCAAAACAAATTAAAAAATACTGGTTTTCAGGTTTTCTTTAGACTAGTCGGTGACGAAAGTATATTGTTCAGTGTTCAACTGCATTCGTATAGCCGCTGCAATTGTACAAATTTACGGTGAAGAAAAAAAAAGGAAACGAGGGAAGGTTACAGTTAGACGGAAAAACCAAGTGAACCTGCATTAATCGCATTAAAAGACGAGGATAAACGAGAATTATCCCGTCAGGCAGAGTCTACGACGTTCAAAAGATTTTCGGGAGGATTGCACATTAAAGCATCATTTGCAGCCTCCGAGTAAAAGCCTTTTACTTGCTCAGTTTGGCACTTTTCCAACCTACTGGATTTCTTTGTATAGGCGGACCCAGTACTAATTTCCACTGGACGGGAAAACGATTTTGGCTGGAACGATTCCAGCGGAATTGGCAGTGAGCCACTGTGATATATGGAGGCACCCGGAAGATACCAAAGAGACTCCGGAAAAGAGTACCTCAAACTTCTTTGTCAACTGTGGTATCAGTTGCTATTAGTGTCATTTTGTTCGCAATAGTCCATACTATTAATATTCCAAATTTCTCCCGTTTTGGTTCTGTTTCTGCCGAGAATTAGCAGAAATGTGACAGGATGTTTGTTTTTGACAGGTACTTTCTAACTTACTTACTGTTATAACTTTTGTTTATTTGCCTGCACATAAGC